CACCACACACACACACAAAAAAAAAAAAAAAAAAAAAAAAGAAAGAAAGAAAGAAAGAAGAAGTGTGCTGGGTGGGTGGGGTGGCACAAGCCTGTAATCCCAGCAGCTTGGGAGGCTAATACAGGAGGATTGCAAGTTCAAGACCAGTCTTAGCAATTTAGGGAGGCCATAAGCAACTTGGCAAGACACTGTCTCGAAATAAAAAGGTCTGGGGATGTGGCTCAGGGGTTAAAAGCCCTTGGGTTCAATTTCTAGTACCAGAAATAAATAGATAAATCTTTTGTTAATGCTTTAGATAGAGCTAAGAAAATTCAACTGCTCAAACAACAGGGTGTTTATGGAGCTTGAAAGCATTAGAGCTAAGCAGTTTCAGAAGCTACCTAAGGTAAAAAGTAGCTTAATTTACCTTTCTTTTGGTTTATCATCTTTTTTTCTTTCATAAGTGGCATGATCATGCCTTGTTGGATCATAACGAATGATGTCCCTATGTTAAAAAAAACAAAAGCATGGAAGAGAGAAATCAATCAGAACACTAATACAAAAAATTAATAGCAAATTATAATTCAACATGAAGCATACCAATGTTAGCCAAAATGAAGCTAATGGTATGAAAGAAGACAAATTAGGACCTTGTTAGAAACAATATTTTAAAATTACGAAATTTTGAGTTTCCCTGGATCTTGTTTTAATCTTAAGAATTATTTTAAACATCCTAAAATAAATACAGATAAAATGACATACTATGTGGAATTTGCATTAAATACTTCACTGAGTATGGCAGATTAAACAAATGTATAGAAGAGAAAACTGGTTATGTTTTGGTGACTGTCAAAGTTGGATGATGGAATTACATGGGTTTGATGACACCAATCTGTCTAAATTACATGTTTGAAGTGAATCACTGGGTCAAAATAAGAATATTTCTAAGAATCTGATACAAATTGTCAACATATCCTCACAGGAAATTAAAAATTAGCCATCTGGGTTGGGGATGGTAGTTTCGTGGTAAAGGGATTGCCTAGTGATCTCAAGCACTACCCAAAAATTAATAGATTAAGACATAACTTTAAATTGTGATCAAGAAGGCATTTATGGCAAAGGAAAATACATTGGAATAGGCTAGAATATAAAGCATACTTAAATTTCTTAGCAGCTACTGATCCTTTGCTTGTAGGATTGTTCAAGCTGATGTGCAAAACACTTTGTGCAACATTTAAGGCTTTCTTTTTTTCTGCAGCAAGCTCTTCTTCCTCAGCAGTTTTCTTTTCATTTACCTCTTTAAGGAAAAAAAATAATTATTATATCTTGATAAACAGCTTGAGAAATCTCAATCATCAAAAGCTTTACCAATCACCATAATATGTCTGAAGCACACTGAGATAAAAAGTTGACACATTCTGCTAACCTTTCTACCTACAAGACCCTCATGGTACAACAAACCCAGAAGTTGCATCACCAGCAAACAAAATGTTCTATTTTTATTTGTGATTATAAAAATGAAATCTGGACTTCAGTGGCAATTCTAAATTTTTAAATTTTTGCAGTGCTGGAGATTGAATTTATGGCTTTATGAACATTAAACAGTGCTCCACCACTGAGCTATAGTATCCCTGGTCCTTTTTAATTTTATTCTGAGTCAGGATCTAATTTGCTGATGCTGGCCTCATATATGTGATTCTCTGACTTCAGCTTGCTGAAGAGCTGGTATTATAGGAATGTACCACTGTGCCCAGCAGAAGCCTGAAATTTTCAAGGCAAAGATCAAAAAATGTAATATGGTAAGATACTAACACAAAAGTGATTATAGACCCTTTGATTTCTTTTAACATTCTAAAAATGTGATCTTGATTACATTTAGGTCTAAAATTTATAAGAACAGTAAAAGATAGTTATTTTAGTGACTGTTAGTGTGACAGATTAAAATGGACAGTTATTCAGTCTTTGATTCAGTAAAAAAGTATAGCAGGAAGAAAGCTCTATTTCTCATACACATGAGGCATCACTGAACACTGTCAGCTGCTACCCTCAACTACCAGAAATGGACACAGAGAACAGAGTCAAATACCGAGTTTGGATAACAGAAACATGAAAGGAGTCTAAGCCTTTAAGACCCTACATAGATAATATGCTTCATTGGCCACAAAGGTAAAAAAATTTCAAAAAGGATGATCAACATTAACAAGGGGAGCAGGCCAGCTGAGGAGGGTGCTACCTGGAAAAGTGTCACTGGACAGGAAGTTGTTCCACAAAAGTGGAAGAACTCAAGAAAGTAACCTCTACCGTCACAGCTATGTAATTTCTGAACATRGGCTCTTCTCAAGATTCTATTCATTCTTGTGCTTTCAATACAGGATTGTACAAAGATCCGAAAGTCAAATGTTGGTTTGGAAGCAAGTTGGTGTGAACCCTGAAGAATTTATTCATAAGCCCCATTGAACCTTGGTTTCCCAAAATGTATAGTGTTGATAATAATCACTTTAAAGCACTGATAGGATCAAACAATAATAGACTATTTGAGAAATGGGGTGACAGGAAGTACAAGTTGTGAGATTAAGATGCACATTAGGTTAGTTAACTCAGGAAGGAGAATAAAACAAGACAAGGAAGATAAGGACAGAGGTTCTGAGGCTGAGGTTATTCACAGTGGTCGTGTAGATCAGGTCTTTAAAAGGATGAGAATAGATAGTCTTCTAGATAATGTGTTGAAACACTGCTATGAAAAATGGCACAGGAAGTAGGATCAACATGCTTCTAAAAGCCCTGTTCCTCTTAGATTTATCCAGGTAAAGATCAATTTGGCATTTACTTTTAGATTTACCAAGTAAGGATAAATTCCATAGAATGGCATTCCATGATCCTATGCTTTTTAAAAAACAGATACCTGGTATGCACACCAGAGGAAGACGAAGACTCTTTATTAGAAAGAGTCAAGTTGGACTTAATTATCTTCCAAGGCCAACCCCAAWCCTGAGGCACTACAAATACAATTCCCAAGGAAGGGCCTTGGCCACCTTCTCTCATGCCAGGAATAGGATGTAGGAATATGTTATCTTTGGTGAATGCTTTCTACTCCTGTCCTATTTGTCAGCTTCAAGGAATAAAATTTTACAGAATAAAAATGTACAAAAAACTTAAGAAATATTAAGTTAACTTGACAAAACATTTAATTAGAAACTCAATTCAATGTCTTGGTGTGTAGAGTTTCTTCAGGTTAAACAAAGGAGGTATGCTGGATGACTTCTCTACATCAGGACTATTGGGACAATGAAGCATTTACCTTCCTGTTCCTCTTCACTGTCACTCTCCAGAAATCGAGAGTCCAAGCGGAACCTGTCATCATTGCCAAAGTGCGATTGTAAATCCAGGAGCTAAACAGACAAGAACACACAATTGATAACCATGTTCCCAAGACATTGCTTCTAAACAGGACTTCAGGTGCACTTCCCCACACTCTGAAATTCACATTGTTAACATTTGCACAACCTCACCTGCCCAATCAGAGAATTAGAGAGGATTTGCTTCCTATTTCCCAATGATGAAATATGTGTCAAAGTCTGCTGCATTTATCTGAAGTTTAATATTGAAAACCAAGATATGCTACACATTTTTCTGTTTTTAGTGTTCACTAACCTTCTGTCCAGCTTTGCCCTCAAATTGARGTTTAATTTTGAACCTGTCAATGTCATCCTCTGAATCAAGTTCCTCATCATCACTGCTGCCAAACAGCTGCCCGGAGGCTTTACCCACAGATTCCTGTTATATAGAGAAAACAGAAATGTTTAGTAACTGAGGCAATCAGCATCTCCTTTACAATGTAATCTTCTGCCCACATTAAAAAACAAACAAACAATGAAAACAACCCAGATGCATCTACCAGGATGCATCAGACAGAAACTCCTGACTCAGGAATCTCTAACTGAACTCCAGTATCATTAATCCCAAGGCTCTCTGATGCTACCTGGATTTGGGGGGCAGTTACTGCATGCAAGAACATCTTCTGTAGTCTTTCACTGATAGTGATGTGACTTTGCAGATGATGTGGAGAACACAGAGAGGTTCATGTGTGAGAAAATCATTATGACCCCACTCATCTGAGTGTGTGGAGGCCTGGGCAGGCCTGAGTTTCACTGCAGCTCCCAGAACTTTGTGCTGAACTGGAAGTTGTGTGGAAGACTTGGAATGCAATAGACAGATGGATCTGCCAAGCAGATAAATGTCCACAAGGATGTATGGAACATCTTACTTTCACCAGCTCCTCTCCTGGACGGCTTTGCTCCTGAGTGTTTGTCTCTTCTGTTTCATCTTCACTGTCAGAACCAAAGATGATGTGTGTTGGCTTATCCTCTGGACGACCATCCTGGGGAGGCCATCAGAAGCATCACATTTTAAGACAACAGAAACTCACACTAACCAAGTCCTAATCCATCATCTCTTTCTCCTGCCACATCTCCTTCCTGTCCTTTTTTTTATCTAGTGAATGCCACTCTCATCTGCTATTTGCCTGAGATAGAAACTTAGAACTCCTTTCTCTCCATATCCAATGACCACCAACTCCTATCAACTAGACCTTCTTGGAATCGTTAAATCTATGCCCACCATTGGTGCCCTGGTTCTGGTCCCCAACCTTCCAAAGGATTTCCTTATCTCCAGAATTGACCCATTCTATTTGTTTTTGTCATGTCCTGAAGGATCTCTGCCAAACAGAGGTTCACAAACTTTTTCTGTAAAGGTCCAGAAAGTAGATATTTTAGAATCTGCAGGCCACATATAGTCTCTGTCCTATATTCAATAACCACTCTTAGCTTAAAGGCTATACATAACAGGACCATGGTCTGGATGGCCTGAGAGCCATAGTTTGCCAAATCTTTTCCAAATATACAACTGATCTTCAATTCCCTGCTAAAATTCTTTAGCCTTAGGAGTGAAGTTCAACCTCTGCAGCCTCTATATTTCTTGCCACCTCTATATATCTGTAAATCATAGTCTGAGTGAAAATATTCACTGTTGTAAAATGTGCTTCCTTTTCCTGGAACATCTTTCCTCTCCCTTCCTGGTCTTTTACCTCTGCCTAATTCCCACTTAACTGTTCACATTTCTCAAAGGTTCATTACAATAAATCTTAGCAAGTCTTGGCAAGCTACAAATCACTTTGTAATCACTATGTGAAATTTAAAAATAAAGAAAATTTTAGGGATTTTTGTTGTTGTTGCTGGGGATTGAATCCAGGGCCCCATGCTAGGAAAGCACTGAGCTATATCCCCGGCCCTGAAGAAAACTTCAAATAAATTTAAAATGTTTTAGGTAAATACTAATATTTAATTTCAATACCTTAGGAATACGCTAAATTTTTAGGGTGATACAAGTTTCTAACTTAAGGACAAAAAAACATGAAAAGTGGTGAATGCCAAGAAGACAAAGAGCTCTTAGGAGGCACACCTACCTGCATAGGAAGGAAAAGCTGAACTTCCAGAGTGTTGTTATTAAATGCATAGATTGAAAATACACTCACCTGGGGCTGGGATTGTGGCTCAGTGGTAGAGCATTTGCACTGCATGTGTGAGGCACTGGGTTTGATTCCCAGCACCACATTAAAAACAAAGAAAATAAAGGTATTGTGTCTATTTACAACTAAAAAAACATAAAAAGGAAAAAAAAAAAAAAAAGACAATACACTCACCAAATTGGCTAGGGCATCGTGGACCAGTTTCTTCTTCACTTCTTTTGCTTTCTGCCTTGCTTCCAAGGCTGCCAAACGTCTCTGATTGTCTTCAGCATACTTATTCTTACCAGTCGCACTTGCTGAACTACTAACAGAAAGTGAGAAATCTGCTGTGCTTTCCTGAGCATCTTTTCTGGAAGAGAGGGTTGGCAATTTCTCAAGAGAAGTGAGGCTGCTTGAATCAGAACCCTCTTCCTCAGAAGCTTCGTCTGTCTTTTTGGTACCATGGCAACTGTCTTTATCAATGCCTATTTTGTGCATCTTTGCACTAAGACTTAAGGATTTTTTACCTTTTAATGGCATCAGACTAGAAATAGAATCTATAGCTCCCTTTTTTGAACTGCTAGGGGAAACTACCTTGTGATATTGGGTCTCAAAACTGAACTGTCTTTTTTGAGGTGGAGTGTGATTTGGGCTATTTATTGTCTTGGCACATTGCTGTGAAGTCAGTTTGCTTGATGAACCATTAAGACGTAGGGACTCATTTTCAATGGAAATGCTACTGGAATCCTCCAGTTTTAAGGAACTCTGATCTTCATTTATATTGTTAGAGTCCACACTCTCTTTCAAGGTTTTTTTCACTGATTCCTTTCCATAGAGATAGCCTACACCCCTGAATGCCTGGAATTTGGGCTTTAAGTTGTTTTCCTTTGGTTTCTGCTTGTCACAGGTTTTCTCTTCCTCTAAAAGGGAAGCCACAATTTCCTCAGGATGAATGCACTGTCGGCTTCGGCCAAGGGCACGGGGTGTCTTGGGGCTCTTGGAGGCTCTGTCAAACTTGGTTTCTGGGCCATCGCTCTCAGAATCTTCTGGTACCACCAGATCACTGCCAGCCAACTGTTCCAAATCAGCTAAAGTGAGATTCACACGGGGACAGTTTTTCATGATGGCGTTATACTCCTCATCTCCTTCACTGTCTTCATCATCACTGCTGCTGGAGTCAGATGAAGATTTATGACTTAGAGGCTTCACTCCATTACTGACAGCTGACTCTTTCTTGTTTTCTCTTTTTTGTATTTTATTACAATGATTGAAAATCTCTTTCTTTTTCAAAGTTTTGTTGTGCATAGGTTTTTCTGTTTGTGAAATCTCTGCACTATTTTTGACCTTACTAATGTTTTGTTTCATTGCAATGATTTCATCTGTATCTCCTGAATCATATTCATGGTCACTTCCCATAATTCTGTCACTAACACAGTGAGAGATGTTTTTAACTCCTAGCCCTGCTAAAGAATGAAATTTGTGAACATCTGATTTGAAATCATCTCTTACAACTTCAAAAAGATCATTTTCAGATTCATTTATTGAGGACCATTTACTTCTCTGTAAGTTTTCCTCTTCTGCAATCAGCATTCTTAATTCATCCTCAGAATCAATATCATCATCAGACATGCTATTTCTCTTCCTGGCAGTTTCCAAACCAAAAGTCTGAAAAGGTACATTTTGAAGTTTTTGAGAACCAGAATTAGGTACAGGGGATGATTTGGGAATAACAGAAGCGCAAGGCATTTTCTGGGTTGATGTGCTATTATTCTCTGTTTCGAGATTGGTCCTTGGACTCACAGTGGAACCCTTGCACTTTTGTACTTTTATAGTCTTCTTGGGAGGGCCATGAAAGTCAGAGAACTCTCCTCGACGTTTCTTACTCATAGGGTCATTACCTCCTTCCAATTCCCAAGTGAGGCTAGTTATAGGAGTGGTATTTGTAAAATCTTCTCCTATCTTCTTTAGGTTGTGGCAGTATTTTGACGGATCATATTTCATGATGTTACCCAGAGTCAAGGAACAAAGCAAAAGCACTAGGTGTTAGGGACATCTATGTGAAACAAAAAGAATATTGTTTAATCTCAAGCACATTGTTTATTTTATCTTGCTCTCAGTTTCTTATCAAACAAAACAGGGACTCCACAGTAAATTTTCATGATCTATGAAATGAAGCCTTCTAAAACATTTCCAGAGTTAAAACCAAGTACCACCATTATCAGTTGGCAAATTACTTGAACTTTATAGATACTACAGCAAATCCAGACAATATAAACACACCTTCTACAAAGAATCCCATGACATCAGTTCTTCAAGGTCTCCACGTGATCAAACTGAATAGGCACAGAATTTGCCTACTGTTTTTCCACTGACCATTCTCCTGCCAGTCTACATTTTTCTTTTTCTCTTTCTTTTTCTTTTTTTTGGTAGTACTGAGGATTGAACCCAGAGGTACTCTACGACTAGGCTACATCCCCATCTCTTTTTCACTTTTCATTTTGAGACAGGGTCTCAAAAGTTGCCAAGACTGGCCTTGAATATGCGATCCTCCTGCCTTAGCCTTCTGAGTAGCTAGGATTATAGATGTGGGCCACTGTACCCAGTTCTCTATACTTATATCTATAATTTTCCTCTAAGACTACTTTCTACCACTTTACTATTAACTCAAGACCTACCTCAATTCTCCTTAAGCCTTCTTTAACAATAGGCCCTTTTCCTCTTACTGTTCTATAACTCCTTTTGCAATGATCGTGAACCCATATGCAATAAGATGTATAATCTGATAAATAAAAYTTCTCTTTCGGCATTCATCATTCATATTACTTAATTATATAAAATCTCATGACATTCTCTTATTATTATCTAATTATCTTGTCTTCAAAATGGGAACATACAAACTATTAAATAAACACTGAAGATTTACTAATAGAGGCAGTAATAATGTAAATGTGTTTTGCAAGTATTCATCACTCTAGTAAATAACAGTCATTCTGAGAAGCAAATCACAAAGGATATTTTACGTTTATGTTGATTCTTCAGGTGAAGAACAGGTAAGACTCTTCCAAACTTACTTACAACCCAATTCTAAAAAAAATAATAATAATAAGTGTTATAATATGTGTCACAAATTAAAAATTAATAAAGAAACAATAAATAAATATAATTTTTAAAAAGTTGAATTTATAGTGAATCATTATTATTGTTGGGTTTAGTTTTCTAATAAYGAAACAAGAATTCTCAAAGAGAAAATCTACAAAAGGAAAAAAAAAGAAAGAAAATTTGGAGCAGATATCAAATCCAAACATACGATGGAGATTATTATATAAAAAACACTAGGGCTGGGGTTGTGGCTCAGCAGTAGAGTGCTCGCTTAGCCCATGCAAGGCCCTGAGTTGGATCCTCAGCACCACATAAAAATAAATAAATAAAATAAAGGTATTGTGTCCAACTATAACTGGAAAATATATATTTAAAAAAATAAAATAGAAAAAAAGAAAAGAAAAAACATTAGCTACTAAAAAGCCAAACATGGAAGCTGCCTATACTTCTTACTACCTGTCCTTTAGGAGACAGCTTTTATCTGTTTCTGCTTTTTATTTCTCTAAAATGATGGGGAACTATGCTAACTTAAGAGTCATACATGTATCTTAAGAATTAGAACACGTGATCTATGTTAATTTCTTTATAGCAAGGGGAAAAATGCTATTGGCTTAAGACATGACATACAAAAATAACATGGTCTCAGGTGTTCGGTTCCTGGGTTGGTTCAGGCTATCAGAAGAGACTCACTTTGTGCCCTGGTACTTCTGTTCCTGGCACAGCTTTCATTTGGAAATCTATCCCTCCCATCTTTTCCGACACATTGGTATTGCCTGTTGTTGATTTTTCTTTTTTTGATTTCACTTCTTCTCTCTCTTGGGCCAATCTGGGTCAAAGGGAAAATATAAATAAAACAGGTAAAATAATCACTCATTCGAAATGGTTATTTTCCTTCAAGTGAACTCAAATGAGCATTCTAAACATCTCATAGCATTAAAAACCAAAATAAAACAAAAAACTTTGTTGATAGTATAATGACCTTTATTATTTTCTAAACATAGATTTTCATTATAGAAAAAATAAAAAACATGKAAAAATGAAGAAAACCAAATATGTTCCTCATCTCATATCCTATGGTTTAAATTTTATCTGTTTTGTTCTAAATATAAATATATACATTTAAAAGTGTAATATAAATAATCCTATAGGTATTGTTGGGTAATCTTTTTTCTATCATTATACATTTTTTGAAAACACCACTGTTATTGCCCTACTATACACATTGCATAAATCTGTTTTATTTACCAGTCCCCTGCTGTAGGCAACTGAGCAGTGGAGGGCTGAGCATGGAGGCTTCTTTCCTCCTGACCACCCTCTCTAGTCAGCCTCCCAGCCTCTGCCATTCACTCCAACGCCTGTGCTCCAATCCAGCAGATATCTCAGTTCCCGTTCATGCAAGACCAAGACGTGGATCACAAACTTGCTCAATTTTCCCCTTTCAACTTATAAATCCTGGACACTTTTCATATCCTCTCTCTCTCCACTCTCCCCTGTGAGGAAGAGGTGTTTTTAGAGCCCAATTTGTTAAGTCTTGCTGGTTTCTATCTTCCTAATAAAGAGAATGCCATCCTGACCTTCCAATTCACCTCACTCAGGTGTGGACAACTGCTCTGATCAATGCTCAGTGGCCTCTTTGTTTCTAGTCTATCTCTTTATGTTCTACCACCCAGATGTGTTCCTTGGGCCTATCTGTACATATAGTTCAGGGCAGCAGCACCATGTGCTCTCCCTGCTCAGCACAGAGTCCCAGGCCTACGTGGTAGTACCTAAGTGATGCAGAATGAACGAAAAGTACATGACTACCCTGTTCATAGTCAGAGGCCCCCAGATGAAGAACAAAATCTAATACTTACCTTTCTGTAAGAGCAGTCCCTCAAAACATGCCTCCAGTAAGCTGTTTGCTGCTTGTTTTAGACTGTATCTTTTCTTGTCTAGAATAATCTTATTAACTCTCCTAGTCACTCCATTAGTATATTCTTAAAAATGTTTCCTATTGAAGAGTTCCCAAGCTAATACAGTCTTTTCTTCCTGAAAAATCACCTTTATACTTTTAAAAATGTCAATGGTTGTTAAACTATCTTATTCTTAAATTACCTGCATAAATACTCTTATTTGGGTATCTCCTATTACTTTTATATTTTAGTATGATGCTAGCATTAGCAGTGAAAAATCCATGTCTATTAAAATTTAAATGTACATAACACTGAGACTCAGCAACTCTACTTTTTGTCATAAATCCCAGAGAAACACTTGTGCACATGCAGGAGACATCCTCAAGGAGTACCTATAATCATGAAAAAGTGCAAACACTCTGTTTTGGTTAGTCAGCTTTTTCATTGCTATGACTGAAAGACTTGATAAGAACAATTAGAGGAGGAAAAGTTTATTTTGGAGCTCATGGTTTCAATGGTCTCACTCCATTGAAGGCTGGCTCCATTGTTTGGGGGCTCAGGGTAAGGCAGAATATCATGGTGGAAGAGTGTGGTTGAGGAAAGCAGTTGGGAACATGGTATCACGAAGCAGAGAGAGAATTTTCCTTGCCAGGGACATCTCCAGTGAGCTACCTTCTCCAGCCATACCTTACCTGCCTTCAGTTACCATTCAGTTTATCCCTATTAAGAGATTAACTCACTGGGTGAGGGCTTTTATAACCCAATCATTTCACCTCTAAACCTGAGCACTGTCTCACATGTGACACCTCATATCTAAACTATAACACACTCTAAATGTCCATCAGTCGGAAGGACCAACTACACTGCAGCACAGCCATGTTCTGTACTAACTGGTATTAGGAAAAAAGGGGAGGCTATATTGCCACAGAAGGTTATGTGAAAAGAGAAAATAAGTGTGTGTGTACACATACACTTTTTTTTTTTGTACCAGGGATTGAACCCAGGGGCACCTAACCATTGAACACACTCCAGTCCTTTTTATTTTTTGAGACAGGGTCTCACTAAGTTCCTTAGGGCCTCACTAAGTTGCTAAAGTTGGCTTTGAACTTTCTACCAAGCCACTAGGATTACAGGCATGTGCCACAGCACTTAGATACATAAATATCTTAACATATACACATGTAAATGCATGGAATTCTTTTTTAATGGGGTCTGGGCTAAGGAGAGTCAGAGTTGAGAGGAATTTCAGATATATATTTTTTTTACTAATATATATTTACTAATATAAATTTACTAGTACTATATTGCTTGATAATTTCAAATAAATTAAGTGARTATATAAAACCAATAAATGATATTGGGTTTAGGGATGGGGATGTAGCTCTGTGACAGTGCTTGCCTAAGATGGGCAAGATTCTGGATTCAATCCYCATACTGCAAAAACTAAAAAAAAAATAAAAATTTTGAAAATAAAGAAATGGGGTTTAAATTTATATGGAAAAAACTTACCTGTGCAAAAAGCTTTCTTTTGCTAGCTGAATTTGTAGTGTTCCACCTTTCCATTTTGTTTTATTTAAAACAGACATACCTAAAAGGTAAAGAATTACTACCCAAGTACATAGCAATTCAAAAATGTAATGCTTTCTTTTTAGTAATTTAGTACCAAGAAAAGTAGACTTGTTAAAAGAAACACACACACAAACACACACACACAAAAAGAAAATGTGACCTAGAGACAGGAAGCCTAGGCTTCCATCTATCCTGACCACTTACCAGAAATTTCCTTTTACTTCCTATCTCAACGTTACCAAGAGACTAGAATAAGGAAACATGTAAACTGTAAAGCAAAATTTGTTTGAAATTTGTTTATAAACTAATGTCAGGAACCTCTAGTGAATAACTGACATTTACTATTTCCTTGTTATTTTCTAACTATGAAAGTGGTAAGTGGTCAGGGTGAAAAGAGGACATCTGAGAATCCTGGGAGCACCTTTTACTTATTACCTCATACCAATTATCAACGTGTAACACACAAATAACTGCAAGTGTCTGAACTGTTAGTACTGTTATAACACAGTAGCCAGTTTTTCTAAACATCTGCTACCAGCTTTATAACAACCATCAACAGAATTTTATATGTTAGGCACCATACTAAGCATAAATTTAGTTTAACCATCACAGGAATATTATAAGGCATTATATTTTTCATTCACTAGAAAAGCAAACTGGGGCTTAGAAGTTCAAATAATTTGCCACAGATCAAATTAGCAGAGCTAATGTGTTCTTAAACACAAGTTTTCCTATCTGTCACACAACTTCCTCCCTGAATAATATTTTGGCAAACAAAACTATAAGACTGATAGCCTTCTTCCTCTATCATATGTTCCTTTTACTCACTTTTCAGTGTCTTTGACTTTTTGACCCCTAAGTAACTAGAATTCATTACTGTATCAGCAGTATTATGGATTCTTGCCCTCTCCTTCCTCTTTGACAGTCAGTATTCACCCTCAGTATTCAGTTTACTAAATCATATCAAGAGATACCATAGTATCTTACAACTGTATATTCTAATGCCCCCTCCTCAGAATATTTAATGACAAAGATTAGCTACCCAAGAAATGAATAGAGAAGTGTGACAGAGAGAGATTTCTAGCAGGCAGTTTCTGTGAAATTTTGGCCCCTTCAAAATTATTTGAGAATACCAGTTTTTGAGCAAACTCATTACCATTGTGCTACTACAGGTCTGCTGACATAAATGGAATTGACCTAATCAGCAGAAATGTAGAATACCAGAATCCTCTTAATCATAGTTGTTCTTTTGTATGACTTAGAAGTGTCTGTTGAGGTTTAGATTTAGAACCAAAGTTACTTCAAATTACACAGTGATGCCAACRAGCAGACAATATAAAAAATAATGACCATCTTACATTTTTTCAGATCTGCTTCTGCTACTTTGATGTTAATATATGCAAAGATTTTCTGTGGGTTTCCTAAGAAAATAAAAATAAGTTTATTTTAAATATTATCCAGAGAATAATGTGAAAATTAACTTTCTAAGTTTAAAAGATCAGTTTTTAGAAACTTATTATTTCAAAGACAAATGTTGTTTTTCATTGGATACAAAGATTGAACTTTTCTAAGCATCATCATCAAAATATTCCAAAACAAAATGAATAAGGAAAAGAAAATTAAGTGACCAGATAAGGAAACATCTGGATCATATATTAGTGATACTCTACATAATAGAACATTTAACAGATTTAGAATGTTAATTCTCAAAACTGGATGTTAAGACCTTTCTGATATCATGTTTTAGAATTTTTCTGATTTCAGCAATTGTGAACAAGTTTCATATCACATATAATACCTCCAGGGCATTACATATCATTTTCAGTGTTCAGAGCTAATATTTACTGCTGGGGTTGCTTTATCTTGTAATATTTAACCCATGTCTGCCTGTAACCATCCAGTGAAGGATTATAAATTTACCTTGGTCATCTTTCCGTGTGATGATCTCCACATCAGAAACTTCTCCAAATCTGCTGAACTGATTTTGTAGATCTGTCTCCGAAATGGCCTGGCCAAGGCCACCCACAAAAAGGCGCTTGGTTTCTTTGTTGGCTTTCATGAAGGTTGGGCATACACTTGGTATGTTCTAGTGGGAAAAGTAATTTTCTGTATATGGAGAAGTTCTTTCCCATAGTTCTCCTCAAACATAACTCCTTCTCCCCTGAGCCTACATGCCAAATTGGTCTTCTGGATGCATGCTTCACTTCCTATTGTATCTCYCTGGAGATTCTGCTCAAGGACTACATACCAATTCTTCCTGAATGCACTTTGGAACAGCACCTGCACACTTACACAATCACAGGAACACACATAATATTCCTTTTAAATGACCACAACTATTATATACTGTCTCTTTTCATTTACTTGTTTACTTATTTTTCGGTGTTCTTTTTTCCTTCCTTCATACATTCTTTTTGTCACTTTAACCAAGGCTGACAAATGTAGGATGCGGCAGTTCATATGCTAAGGGAGGAAAGTCACATCTCCATCCTGAAGCTCCACACCCACAAGAGGAGTAAACCAATACTGCAATTACAATATTATGCACAATAAAAGTGCTGCAAAGTGCTGTTCAGGCACGAAGACTTGCTTTTTTACTATGTGTCTATATGGTGCATAGCAGTTTGCATGTATTCCATTTCTCACACGAGCAGAATCCACTTTCCCAATGCTATAAAGAAAATCAGTGWTGAAGCCAGAATTATAATGCAGGTCTAATTTCCAATCCCGGAATTGTTAACACTATACTAACGGAATTGTTGGATTACCGGGGATTCAGGAAAACTTTTCTAGAGGTGCTTGAGGTTTGACATCCATCATCAGATCCCTCATCTCCTTTAGCTCTCTTCGGGCGCTAAGCTCCCATCCTGCTCTTCTTCAAGAGCTGACATACTCCTCCGCATGGGAGATCACAGAAGAGCTCCTGAAGCCCAAGGCATGACACCGAGTCTGGGTGACAGCTCCGACTGAAACTCTTCCTAGCAGTCTCTACCCCAACCTCGCCACCCCAGCCTTCTTCCTCCCGGAAGACCAAAAAAAGAGAAAGTAGAGCTCAGATTCGGGAGCCCTATCACTTCCCAAGCCCAAGCCCAGAGCTCACCACGCCGTCTCCTAGAGCCAGCGCCGCGCATCTGCCCACTTCTAATCACATGGCCCACCAAGTGCAATTCCTCTTCCTTCCTACTCGATTTCCAACTTCGTCTCCTAAGGTTCCGTTTCCGCACTTAGTTCCGGAGCACTCTTTATTTTGTTTCCCGTCGTTCAGGCGGCTGGGATGCATCCACCACCCTCCCCCCAACTTCCGCAAAAAAAAAAAAAAAAAAAAAAACCCGTTGCAAAATTCCCTAATTTCTAAAGAGCCGACTTGATCAGTGACTCCCGCATTGAGCAGGCCAGAGTGAGGGAGCGGAAGAAAATGAACGAGCGCCCCCTTTCACCAGGTCCCGGAACCGCCTCTCCAGTAACCTAGACGTCCGGGTTGTTCCAAGGCTGCTGGCGGGGGTGGGCAGCCGGACGCTTGGCGGATTGGAAGGAACCAACTCGCAAGAGTCGGGACTGTTTAAAGACAGCCGTGGGGAGGTGGGGAGGGTCCTCAAGACCTGGAGTCTCGTCTGAGCGCGGGGGTGGACTCTCCGGTCCGCGCGGTTACGCGTCACCCTGCCGCCTCCCCTACCCCGCGAGCTCCGCAGTGGTACGTGCCGGTAGCGCGCGCCGCTTGAAGCTCGGGGCGAGGCGGCCGGGACCTGGCTTGGCAGTTCTGTGCGCCATGGACGCCCAGCGCGCTGAGGTGCGCGCCTTGGAGGCGGAGATTGCTGCGCTGCAGCGAGCGTGCAGCGAGCTGCCTGCGCCCTGGGAAGGGACGGCCAGAGACCGGTACGTGGCTCCTGTCCTCTCCCTGGGACTCCCGGGCACTGCCTCAAGGCGAGGCAGAGGACTGCACAGAGCGCTCCGGGCCGCGGTTCCCCGGAGGCCCTGACCTGCGGGTTGTAGCTTGGGACACCCCCAAACGTAGACTGGAACCGTCGCCGATTTTGTCATGACGGTGGCCTAGCGTCTGGAGTACCGCTTACGGGGTTCTCTCTGTGATACGCGCCTTTCAGCGCGTCCACTGATAGTGGTGAGAAAGTCGTTTCTTGCAAGGTCCCAAGTCTTGTTTATTTCTTTTAACTAGAAAATCTTGCCTTCGGCAGGCAGCAGTTTCAAAGTGGGATTTACTTACTTTGTTTTCGGGACATTTGTTTGTATAGGTCACCTAGCCACGGGGATACCTTTTTTWAATTATTATGAAAATGACATAAAATTTTCTTTGAAGCACGGTTTAGGTGAAAAGCTGATACAAGGAAAAGTAGCTAATATCGACTGTAGGGAGAATCTGACAGCCCTCTGACGTAGATGCTATCCTTAACTCAGTTTTAAAGTTAGAGAACCTGAGAATCAGAACTAGCTTGCCAAAGGTCCTAGACAAAGGAGGTGTTAGAACTGAATTGGACCCTAAAATACTAGGAGTCTTCTTGATTGAAGARGAGAAAAGATCTCTAACAATTATCGGTTATGTATCATCTCATTACTTGAAATCAAACTATCTTCGTTTTTAAAAACAAGACTAATTTGGTATAGGTGCAGAGAGAGGGGTTCCCCCCCTCCCCCTGATCTAAATGGACAAAAGTGCTAGAAAATGTGAAGGAGGATGAGGGGGTCTAAAGAAAATGTTTGGGTTGGGGATGTAGCTTAATGGTAGAATGCTTGCTTAGCATGCAGTGAGGTCCTCAGTTCCATTCTTAGAGCTGGGGGAAGTTTGCATGATGTTCTATGCAGTCATAAAAGTAGAGAAAGCTGTTGCTGGTAAAAGGGAGAAAGAAGCCGGGTGCAGTGGCCCAAGCCTGTAATCCCAGCGGCRTCGGAGGCTGAGGCAGGAGGATTGCGAGTTCAAAGCCAGCCTCAGCAAAAGTGAGGTGCTAAGCAATTTAGTGAGTCCCTGTCTCTACAAAATAGGGCTAGGGATATGGCTCAGTAGTCAAGTGCCCCTAATCCCTGGTACCAAAAAAAACAAACAAAAATGAAGGAAACAGGTGAACAGGGTATGTATATGCTTCTCACAAGAGTAAATGAAATGTCCTTGCTACTCCAGGTGTAAACCATAGATTGGAAGCATTAGAATCACCTGGGAGTTTGAGAACTACCTACTAAATCATAACCTACATTTTAATGAGACATCCTCCTCTTACCTCCCCAATAAGCAAACTCTTTAAAGTTTGAGAAATACTGTATCGTATTATGGGGAGGATGATTTCTCCACTGACCACAAGATGTCATTATTAGTCCAGAATACCATAGTAGATTATTTGTTATGTGGGACTCCTCATTGATCACACTGGAAAAGTCACAAGAGTTCCAGACTCTAGAAGACATTAAATGTCAATCCAAGGTATTTAGGTTTAATGGGAAATTTTTTTCTCAACTATGGTGGAGATGGAAGATTGGGACATGTGTGAAAGCTACTTTTTAAGTGATTTTAAATGGTTGGATGGGTTGGTGGTAGAAAAGTTGGAGCTAAATTATTCAGTTATAGCATACTGCRGTGATGCAGCCACATCAATGTTTATAGCAGCTCAACTCAAAAGCCAAGCTATGGAAATAACCTATCTGTCCTAAAGCAGATGAATGGATAAAGAAAATATGGTATAATATACACAATGGAATATTACTCAAACATAAAGAAGAATGAAATAATGCATTTGCTGGTAAATGGGTGGAACTGGAGAATATTATACTAAGTGAAAATAAGCCAATCCCCCAAAACCAAAGGCCAAGTGTTCTCACTGATTGGTGGATGCTAACCCAAAACAAGGGAAATTGGGGTGTGGAATAATAGATATCCATTGGATTAGAAAAAAGGGAAATGAGGGGCTGGGGATGTGGCTCAAGCAGTAGCGCGCTCGCCCGGCATGTGCGAGGCGCTGGGTTCGATCCTCAGCACCACATACAAATAAAATAAAGATGTTGTGTCCACCAAAATCTAAAAAAAAAAAAATATTAAAAAATTTCCTCTCTCTCTCTCTCTCTCTCTCTCTCTCAAACAAAAACAACAACAACAAAAAAGGGAAATGAAGGAATGGGAGGGGGAAGGGAATAGGAAAGACAGTAGAATTAATTGGACATAACTTTCCTAGCCTTGTTTTTGAATACATGACCAGGGTAAATCATGTACAGAGTGGGATCCTAAATAGAATATTAACTCTATGTATAATTTGCCAAAATACATTCTACTGTCATGTATAACTAAAAAGAACAAATAAAATAAATTATTCAGTTATATCCATATATCCACATTCTGGAGCCAAATTGCCTGCCTTCAAATTCTGGCTATTAATGGCTGCATGATCTTGATTGGAACCCCTTCCTTGTTAAAACGGTACTCAAGTTTTCACCTTGTTGTGAAGACTGAATTAACATATTTAATAATAACTAACACTAATTAGTAGATCATTGACTTTTAAGCTAAAATCAAGTATAGATTTGGTTTAAGAGGGGTTTCTTGTGAACCTCTAGTGTTGACAAAAGCATTTTATGCTAATAAGAAATTTGCAAATAATAAAACTACAGAACCAATAAAATTCAAGCTAAAAAAAATTCAGCTGGGAGTGGTGGCACATGGATGTAATTCCAGTGGCTAGGGAGGCTGAGGCAGGAGGATCCTGAGTTCAGAGCCAGCCTCAGCAAAAGTGAGGTGCTAAGCAACTAAGTGAGACCCTGTCTCTAAATAAAATACAAAATAGGGATGGGGATATGGCTCAGTGGTTGAGTGTCCTGAGTTCAATCCCTGCTACCCTCCAAAAAAAGAACATAATTCAAACTAATATTATTAGTTGAAATAAACCAATGATACTTTGCTTATATAACTAGTTTCTATCAATGAGAATACACAGCTCCTCTTTTGTGTATATGATAAGAAATATATATACAAATACACATATATCATACAATTTACTATTTTAATCATTTTAAGCATATTGGTCAGTAGCATTAAACATGTTCATATTGTTTTGCAACATTACCACTGTCAATCTTTAGAACTTTTTCATCATTCCAGTCTGTCACTCTATACCCATTGAATAATTAACTGCTATCTCTCTTTCCCATTGCCAACTGCAAGTTCTTTTTTGAATTCTGTCTATCTATCCTTTAATGTGATTGCTTTGCTCTCTTGAACGTTCTGTGACATTTGGTGTTCACTTAGCAGAAACTCATCATTTATGTTTGAAGATTGCCTCTGTTTTTTTTCATTGTTTTTTTTATATTCAAAGTAAATTTTTTKGTCATCAATCCATGATAGAAAATGTGAAAGAATATGTGATAATCTTTCAGATGTTACAAAATGTACTTATTGATATTTAAAATTAGAAGTAAAACAATATTAAACTTTTTTATAGACCTTATACAAGTCTTTGATCCTCAGTGTGAATAGAGTTAGATTGTTTCCTATAGACATGGTAGAAGGCCATAAAAGCATTGATTAATGTAGTGGAATTGGAAATAGTAAAGGAAGAAGAGGTTGGAGAGGGAGCAGAAAGRATGACACTATATCCACAGATAAGGCCAATGAAACATAAACTTCTAAAATATGGAGCCTTATGCATCAGGGGGAATTTGGAAGAAAAGCTTATTCAAGGGGGGAAAATGTGGAATAAGTAAGTAGGTCTACATTGCAGGAAGAAAAGATCTATGGCAAAGGTGTGTTTTAGGAGTTGCTGGCATAGAGGAGCTGAGGTTAATCATTGAGTGTTTCTCTGGAATGAGAAGAATATATAATATTTAAGAAACTAGGGGTAAGAGTATTAGGGTTTTCCTTTAATGTTGGTAACAAAAAGCAGAGATAGCAGAAGATCCAAGATATAAATGAAAGTCAGGGTAATCATGCCCCAGAATCCAAAAAAGAGATGTTTTGGAATGGCAGAAGTCTATAGTGTAGAATATAGCTGAGTGTTTAGGGGGGAAAAAGGATGAAAAAAAGTATAATCTAATGCAATTATTAACTCATTCTTTTTTTCAAGGAAAATTAAAGTTACATGTTCTCAGAATGTCTGGTTATAGTATTATTTGAAGAGATGATGACATTTCTTCTTTGGAGTCTTTACTCCCCTCTGTATTCTTAGATTTCCTGAGATATCTCTTAGTATAAAATGTTTTGTGATATTTGCTTTTTTTTTTAAAAAAAATTAGCTATTTAATTTTGTTTTTATGAGATGTCTTGGGTATTAGTTTTTTAGGTTGGAAATTCCCAGATGAGAACTAACCTTTCAATTTTGCAAAGTACTTCTATTTTTGTTTATTTTAAGGTGTTTCTACTATGTACAAATATCCTAGTATAATTTGGTTATTTTTGTTTTTTGTTGAAACTAGAGATTACAGTATTAATGGCCATATTAGTTTTGATAATGCTTTAGTTTTAATGGGAAGTGATTAAGAGAAACAAAATGGGAATGGTTTAAAGAAAATTGGGGTATTAAATGAACCAATTGTTAGTAGTTGTAATAACTTTCTGATATTTACTTTTTAGAAAATCATTTCAAGAAACATACCAATCAGATACTAAGAAATGTGAATCTTCAAAAGATCTAAAAAGTCAGCTTGGACATTTAAAATCAGAACTTTCATTTCTAAGTACACTTACTGGCTTCAATATAAGAAATTATGCCAAGCAGACAGAGGACCTAACAACAACTGAGATGACAGAAAAAGGTGAGCATTATTTTTAATCTAGAAGTGGTTTTGAAGCTTACCATATATGATTGGTTATCATAATGTTGAAAAATTCTGCAGATTCACTATTTGATAAACCTGTTTATAGTCTTTTGAACATTCCATTGTGCCCAATAGTATTTAAAAGTTGTCTAAGGTAAATATTAAATAATGGAATACAGTCTTTATCATTAAATAACCTTACTAGTTAAGTAAGAGTGATATGTGATTAGGGATTGTTAGAACAGCACTATTAATATATGAACATAATAATTTATTACTGATGTGAAACCTGCCTGATCTATAATGGTTTGCTGCTGTCATTGCCTATGGCCAAATAAATGTTCAGCTCCTGAACCTTTTGCCAGAAAGAAGGTATCTGTTCCTAATGACAGAGTTTTATTGCTGAAGATCTATAGTGTACTAACAGCTAAGAGGAAGCTAATTCAGCCTTGCAACTGAATATCAAGAACTTTAGTTGGAMAAGAATAACATATCCCAAAGCAGAAATCATTTTTGAAAGTGCTTCCTGACTTTTCCACTGAAACAACTTTTAGGGCAGGGAGAAAATCTTGGGCAGCTCACTGAAGGGACTTTCTGAACTACATATAGAAATGGAGTGATTAATTTAGATACTGAATTACTTGAAAAGAAGAGATGGAATACAGGAAGTATAGAGGATGAGGACAGTCAGGTGTAATGATGCATGCCTGTRATCCCAGCTACTCGGGAGGCTGAGGCAGGAGACTCCTGAGTTCAAAGCCAGCCTCAGCAAAAGTGAGGTGCTAAGCAACGCAGTGAGATCCTATCTCTAAATAAAATACAGAGTAGGGCTGGGAATGTGGCTCAGTGTTCGAGTGCCCCTGAATTCTCTCCAATACCTCCCCCACCAAAAAAAAAAAAAAAAAAAAAATGGAGGATGAGGACAGGTCACATGTAAAACTTTCACCAGTATAAAGTCTTGACATAAATTCTTAAGCATGAGTTTTTTTGTTTTGTTTTGTTTTTGAGAGAGAGAATTTTAATATTTATTTTTTTAGTTTTCGGCAGACACAACATCTTTGTTTATATGTGGTGCTGAGGATCGAACCCGGGCCGCACGCACGCCAGGCGAGCGCGCTACTGCTTGAGCCACATCCCCAGCCCACGAGTTGTTGTTTTTTTTTAAAAAATAAGTTTTTTCAGGGAAGCACTCTACCACTGAGCCACAACTCCAGTCCCTAGGCAAGGTTTTAAGAAAGTTGTGGCCTTGCCACGTGCAGCGGCGCACACCTATATTCCCAGCTACTCCGGAGGCTGAAGCTGCAGTCATGTTAAGCTGAATCCATTTAGACAGGAACTAGGTAATGTTAAAAAAAAAAATGAAAAATATGATTGAAACTTATCTAGGGCTATACCACTATGTTTCTGTCTTTTACTTAACCTTTGGTATAATTGAGAACTACAGTATATAARTTGTCATTAATCCTGTTTTGTAAGGATAATCAGTTTGGTGCACATTGTTCAGATTTTTTAATGCAATTACCAACATATACTTTCATACATCTACTCATATGTATCATAGATAATCACATATATGTGATAGGTATGTGATGAAAATTGTTTTTGTCAAATAAAATATTTGTTTTCTAATTTACAGGTATAAAGAAAGTTCTACAGAGACACAGATTATCAGGAAATTGCCACATGGTTACATTTCAACTTGAATTTCAAATTCTAGAAATTCAGGTAAATTAAGGAGCCTATTGTGATAACAGAGATGTTTCTTTATAACAGAAGCAATTCACACACCCCAGCCTCCAGCAGTGACTGCAATGAGGAGTCGCATTTGTACAATTGTTACTAAGGCAACAGGTGCTTTATCATAGGATAGGTAGCAAAACGCTTCTGGGCTCCTTGTATAAGCCCTGAGGTTGTAAGAGTAGTCATACACCAGCCCCGTATTATCAGTTACCTATTGCTGAGTAACAGATTTTCTCCAATATCTAACATATGGAAACAGCAAAAAAAAAACCAACAAAAAAACAATAACCAAAAAAAAACTACCTTTCTCATCTTCTTTGAGTCAGGAATTTGGGAGCAGCCTAGTTGGATGATCCACAAATTGTGCTGGATTGCTAAGCCAACACAGGGAAGCAGATATGTTTTGCTAAGATTTAGAAAACAATGAAAAAAGAATGGTAGCATAGGCTTCTGGACAGGGTCAGGTAGAACAGGCTCAGACACTTTCAAAGGCTGGCTCTAAGAAAAGCGGGATCCAAGCATGATTTTGAGAACTGTCTGAGGCTCAGCACTGCTTTGGTGGTAGAAAAGATTTTTCAATCAGTTGTTTTCACCAGCTGGGCTCCAGGGAATGTGTACAAAGAGGAAGAATAGAACAAGGAAGGACAGGCAGGTTACCTACCTCATCAGATCAATACACTGGGTATAGTGTAATTGTCACAGTCAAGTCCTTGGGACAAGTGACCTTTACGTACCCACAGTAAGATACCAGGATTCCTCATTCTTGTTGTTAGTGTTCCCAGCCACGAAGAGCCCCAAGTTGTACTGTGTGTTTGTTTGTTTGTTTTATATGATGGGAGTCAGTCAGGGAGTTAGGACCCTGCCTCCTTAGGTGTCAGACAACCATTTCCTTACTAAGTCAAAGGACAGGGTCCAGGTATCTGGGCTTGGAAGTTTTGCTTCTCTTTGCAGTCAGAGTATCCAATTTCTATCATTGGCCTGGGCAGGCTGAAGACAGGATGGGGATCTAGGCTCCTCAGTTGATGACAGAGCTTCCATTTGCACTCACCTACTTATCACCCTGCAGTTACTGCCAAGCTGATTAAGAAAATGCAATGTGGCATTCCCAGGGCTTGTTAGGCAGAATGTGACACATAATTCAGCATTTTCTTATATCATGCATGGATGGTGAGTGGCCTTCAGTGGCCTACAGTGTTCCCAATTATCACCAGGGCTTGGGGCTTTCCAGGGTCACCAAGGTGATATCATTGTTTTGCATGACTACAGAGATTATCTGTTGAAGGCTGAAATGGAGCATGAACCCAAATGATTGGCATCGATTGGGTTGTACCACTTGTTAGGACCCCAATCTTTTCCTTTGGGTGACCTGGGGACTCCTGAATGTTTTTGCATTTTTGATGGTTTTATAGTCTGACCCAACTGCATTTTTCCCCCCAGTGCTGGGACTTGAACCTAGGACTTTGCACATGGTAGGCAAAGAACTACTGCTGAAATACATCCCTACCACTTTTAGGGTTTTTGCTTTGTTTATAATTTTGAGACAGGATATCACTGAATTCCCCAGGCTGCCCTAGGACTTGGAGTCCTCCTGCCTCAGCCTCCTAAGTAGCTTATAGGCACGCACTACCATACTCAGCTCAATTGTATCTTCCTTTTTTTGTGGCTAATGAGATTCTGACCTTAGAGTGGCAATACACCAGTTGTTCTCCTGCATGCTGTTATCCATGAATGGGATAGACCCAGAACCTATAGCAGATTGGTGGAGTTATAGACCTGATATCCAGTTCCCTCTCTGATAACTACTATATTCTAATATATATATATATATTCCACGAGAACAACTCAGGGACATTCTAGCAGCTTTGGGAGTCTTGCAGGCTTTTTCTGATATAGGTGTTCATTTGTTTCACAGTTGCTTCTTGGATTATCTGGAGAGAAGTAAGACTGTGGGCAAAATTAATCTTGTCTTAGGACAATGTGCCCACAAATCCAACTGAAAAGATCAAGACTGTTCTGTAAAGTTGAGGTAAACAAGCTGCTCTGTGAGGTTGTACATTCCCAGATAGGTGGTGGCCAAAGATTAGTTGGCATTCTCATTAATAGGGCTGTGGCCTGAGAGTTGACATAGATTGTAATATTTTAACTTTTTTTTTTTTTTCTTAAAGAGAGAGAATTTTTAATATTTATTTTTTAGTTTTCGGCGGACACAACATCTTTGTTTGTATGTGGTGCTGAGGATCGAACCCRGGCCGCACGCATGCCAGGCGAGCGCGCTACCGCTTGAGCCACATCCCCAGCCCTTAACTTTGTTTATTTTTTATTTATTATTATTATTTTTTGTTTGTTGTTTGGTTTTATTGGTACGGGGGATTGAACCCAAGGACACTCTACAATTGAGCTAAATCCCCAGCCCTTTTTATTTTTTGAGACAAGGCTTTGTTAAATTGCTGAGGGTCTCCCTAAGTTGTTGAGGTTGGCCTTGAAGTTACAATACTCCTGTCTTAAGCTTCCTGAGCTGTTGGGATTACAGGTGTGCACCACTGCACCCTGTTTAATTTCAATTTCTTTAAATTGCTTACTTTTGTTACAATAAGACAATGAAAAGTTRAGACAAGGAAGAAGAATAAATTTTGGGGACAACTAGCAGTTTCTGACCTATATTCTTTAAAGGATACGGGGGTGGGGGGAATCTGAGAGGAAGTGTTGATACTATTTGAAAGAATTTGCTGAATCTATAAAGAAACATGAATTCTTGTTCACATTTAAAGTATGGGGTTTTGGGACTGCTTGATTTTTTTTTTTTTTTTTTTTTTTTTTTTTTTTTTACTACTAGAAAAAGCATACTCTCCTTGGCCGTATTAAGAGCACTCATTTCTCTCTGAACCTTTTTAATTTTATGATTCTTCTTGAAGATTTGACTGGTAAGATGTTGGAAGCAGTTACAGACAGCTGTGGAATCAGCAGGGCTTTAGGAATCAGTTGTAGGAGTCACCAAGAGTCCTTGTTTAGAAAGGAAAGGAACAAAAGGCTTTTTTGTTTGTTGCTCAGAATGCTAATGTGGTGGTGATGTTTTTGTGTTTGTTGGTTGGTTGGTTGCTTGGTGGTACTGGGAATTGAACCCATCAGTGCTCTCCTACTAAGCTATATCCTTATCTTGGGACAGAGTCTCACTAAGTTGCGTAGGCTGTCCTTGAACTTGTCTCAGCCTTCCAAGAAGCTGGGATTATAGGTGTGTACCACTGTGCCTGACCAAGAACTGTTAAAGTTTTTACTATTTGATGGTAAATGCTACCATATGCTAGGCCTATTCCTATTCCTTTTAGAAATATATCTCTAGTAGAATTGCTCAAAGAAAATGCACATGTAGGGGGCTGGGGCTGGGGCTGGGGCTGGGGCTCAGGCTCAGGCTCAGCAATAGCACACTTGCCTGGCATGTGTGAGGCTCTGGGCTCGATTCTCAGCACCACATATAAATAAATAAATAAAATAAAGGTCTATCAACAAATAAAAAAAATAAAAGAAAATGTACTTGTAATTTCTAATAATATTGTTGATTTGCCTTCTAAAATGATTTTGCCATTTATTGAGCACATTTTTACTGTTAAGACTGACCAAAATAAATAAATAAATAAACCTTGTGTTCTCATTTTTTAAAATCAAATGTTCCACTAGAGGGAGATGTTTAGCTCTCAGAACATTAAAAAGTAAATAATAACTCTCTTTTTCATAATATTATAAATATTTTTCCAGAATAGAAATCTTATTAATATGCAATTCCCATAAAAACCTAAAATCATATAWATTGAATATGTTAGAACCAAAAGCAACCTCATAGATTTTCTAGGTCAACCTCCTTACTTTATAGGGAAATCTATGCATAGTATAGATTGTCTGTTGGCAAAGCTATTATTGTCAAAGGTAGTTGGAATATAGAACTCTGTTCCTCAGATTTACTGTCTGGTGTTATCAGGGCTATAATTTTTATGAGGAGTTGGAAGATCATGAGAATTAACATGCCTCCCACAGACCATGTAGCATAATAAGTGAGATGTTTAGGAGTTTGTACAAAAAGTAGCAAATTATGTATGTGTGCATAACTTGTCTCCCTGAAACCCAACAAAATGATTTAAAAAGGGATGTTTTTAAGCAAATAGAATATATTCTCATTATTATAGGCTCTAAAGAAAATCTGTTTCTTGTTATGATATTTGAACCTAAACACTGAAATYTCAATACAGAGTGCTTTTGAGAGGCATGGGTATTTTGCAAAAGTTTGTGAGACCATTTTCTTTAAGATCTCCACCCACAATTCTTAAGTTGTGAAGAAGAATGAGAAATGTGGACTTAAATGGTAGAAAAACAAGTAGAAAAGAACCCAGTAGAAAAAACAAGCTGCTGAGATTCACGTAGGAGGTTTGAGGTTAKTATGTTTATAAGGTCCTGGCCCTTGTTTACCAACTGGGGAGAAAACCTGGTTGGCAGTAGTACCACAGGCAGGAAAATGATGGAAAAACAATATTTTGAAGTTAGCTTTCCAGTGGTTGAACAGAGTCTGCAAACTACCAAAGGAGGAAAATAAATAGAAGGCCAGTAATCCCAGACTTTGTGTTGACAGGATGACTTGCTTATCCTAACGGGCAAAAGGCCAAAATCTACCATGCACCCTGCATACTTGAAGTAAGACATGCCTCTGAGATTTTTGTCTTCCTTGCTTTTATTTATTTATTTGGTAACAGCTCTACTGAGATATAATTTCATATCGTATAACTTTAAAGTGTACAATTCAGTAGTGTTTATTACACCAGAGTTGTACAACCACTCCCACAATTAATTTTAGGAAATTTTCATCTGTTTGAAAAGAAGCCCCATATTCTTTAACTACCATCTTTCAATATCCCTGGATTCTTTCAGCCCTAAGCAGTTGCTAATCTGTTTTTTCCTCTATGGATTTCTTTATATTTTAGACATTTCACGTAAATGGTCATGTGTCTGACTTCTTTCATTTAGCATGTTTTCAAGATTCATTCATGTTGTAGCACATGTGAGTACCCTTTTTGGGTTGAATAATATTCCATTGTGTGGATATACCACACTTTATCTATTCCTTCAGTTGATAGAAATGGTTATTTTCATTTTTTGGTTATGAATAACATTGTTATAAACACTCATGTATTTGTGAACATTTTTTTTGCCTTATATATAAGAGTGAAATTACTACATCAAATGACATTRATGATGTTGAGCATCTTTCAGTGCTTATAGGCCACTTGTATATCATCTTTGGAAAAATGTCTTTGCAGATCCTTTGAATAATTTTTAATTTTTTTAAATGAGTGGTGAGAAAGCCTCAGGAATTTGTTTTGATTAGGTATGATGGTAGATGCCACAGACAGCTGCTCCCAGCGATTCCCACTATACACTCAAGCAGATGAAAAACTATATGAAGATTAGATATCATCAATATCCATTCTCTGACAGCTCAGAATATTAAGGAGACATGTCAGAGTTTCCTAAAATGCACTCTAGTTTTAGGAAATAACAGAAATTTCTAGATTTACTTTCATTAACAACAAATAGGAGCCACAGACATCAAAGTACAAGATGATATGGTGTTCTTTCATTGTCCTATTGGACAAAGCAACCTAAAATCTAAAATCAGGGCAAAATAATGCCAGGAAAAGAAAGGAAATTAATAAGAAAATGGAAACATTTACTTGAGTTTGCGTATCAAAATAACAGTTTGTGTAATAGTCTTCATCATTAGGTATAGAATTGTTTCTGGCTTTTTGTAGCATTATTAGGAATATCTTTGTTCATAAATCTGTTTTCATTTCTTATTACCATAGTATAGACTCTTAGAATTCAAATTAAGAGAAAATGAATATTTCAGATTATTCATTGTCAAAATGATTTCTAGAAGGGTTATACCAATTTATATTCCCGCTGCCAACTTTGTATATTTACCAGCAATAATATTTTTTAGTCTTTGCTGATTTGTTAAAATGTTTGTTTTTAATTTACATTTATCTTACTGTTGAGGTAAAACACTTTTTTATAGGTTAATTTTTTTTTCACCGCTGAACTTTTAGTTCATGTCCTATGCCTTTTTCTTTTCAGTTTTGTCTCTTTGTCATATTTGTTTTTTAAAGATAGTGAGAGAGGGAGAGAGAGAGAGAGAGAATTTTAATATTTATTTTTTAGTTATCGGCAGAYACAACATCTTTGTTTGTATGTGGTGCTGAGGATCGAACCCRGGCSGCACGCATGCCAGGCGAGCGTGCTACTGCTTGAGCCACATCCCCAGCCCTCTCTTTGTCATATTTATTGTGAATATTTTCCTCAGTTTAATACTTCTTTTTTATTTTATTTTTACTTAGATACTGGGTTTTTATGTAATCCTATTTGCTTTTTTCCCTCCCTATTGTTTGCTTAGGAAGTTTTTCCTGACTCAGTAATTTGTTAAATGTTCACATTTCCTCCCAGTATTTTGTGATTTTAATGTTGAATTTAAGGAAATAATTCATTTGGAGTTCATTTTAGTTTTTGGTATGGAGTGGGATCTGATCTTATTGTTTCAATGAATAACCAGTACTTTGATTATCGTTTTTTCATTATGCTTTCCTATTATTTGAAGATACTTCATTTTGCCTAACTTAAAAGTATTTTAATCTTAATAAGAAAATGGATAAATGATGTATAAATTTTCTTTTTTTTAAATTTTAGGCTAAGGAGAATTTATCTTCTGTCATTACTGAGCTCAACATAATAATGGAACCCACAGAATATTTAGAATTAAGTGAATTTGTATCTAGGTAAGCTATTTTACGGACTTATTTTATGAGCTATTTTTACTCTGCAGTTTTAAACTTAGACTTTTCTTAGTAAATGTATCTTCTCCAAAAGCATAACACCATTACTAGGGCATATACTCAAACACTTATTACCGCTATGAATCTCTATTTATTGTATGTTCACTATGCTGGGCATTAATATTAAAATATGGACAAAAATAGACATAATTCTTGATCTTCATGGAATTTGCAACCATAAGATGTTCTATATTAACTAAATAATTGTAGAAATAAATGTGAAATTATGGCTATGTGGCATGCTAGAAAGAGAGCTGCATAGACTGTTGAAGTACATTAGGACTTTGACTTGTCAGGGAAAACGTGGAATGATTTCCCGAAGCTTGAGTTGACATCTGAAAAATGAATGGGCCTTAACTAACCAAGAGGTCCTAGACAGACGGGTAGAAGGAAAACCAGGAATGTGTTGTGTCATGTAGAGCTCACATGACCTTTTTTCCAGAACATGCTTCAAAAGTAGCATCTGCTCTTGTACAAATTATAAAAGGAAGAATACTAGAATATCTGTCACCCTGTAGTAATGGGTATGTTGTGGTTACTTAATAAATATTTGACTTCAGACTTTTGGGTAATTCTTCTAAACTGTGATCTCCCTTTGTGGAGTGTGACTGGTATTTTAGAAAAAGTGCTGAACACAGGTCAGAAGACCTGGACTTTAGTCCAGACTTTGTATATGATATTTTATAAGTTGCTTCTCCTTGTTGGAGTTTGTTTCTTCTTTGTCACCCTGTTATGCAGTTTAATTATTTATTTTTTTGTGTGTCATCATACATGTACTTAGAGTAATAATATCCATCTCATTCCACCATCTTTTTTCCYGMATGCCCCCTCCCTTCAAWTAGTGTATTTTTGTTTGTTTGTTTTTTGTGGTACTAGGGATTGAGTCTAGGGATGCTGTGGCAATGAGCTGAACCCTCAGTCCTTTTTATATTTTGAGACAGAGTCTTGCTAGGTGTCCCAGGCTGGCCTTGAATTTGTAATCATCCTGCCTCAGTTTCTTCAGTTGTTGGGATTACAGGTGTTAATTACTTTTTTTATTTTTTAAAATTAGAGCATGGTAGCTATACATAGTAGTTGGGTTCATCTTAACAAATTTGTGCATTCATGGAATTCAATTTTAGTTAATGTTCCCCCACCACTCCTTCCCTCATCTCCTTTCTCTACAGATCTTCCTTTCACTCAATTTAGAAAAAAATTTTTTTTTTAATTTGTCAATGGACTTTATTTTGTTTATTTATATGTGGTGCTGAGAATCAAGTCCAGTGCCTTACACATGCTAGGCAAGCACTCTACCACTGAGCCACAATTCCAGCCCATCACTCAATTGTTTTTAAATACTGTATTTTTAAAGATGAATTTACTTTTAGTTTTCCATTATAGACTTGTAGTTTTCAGACAAAAGATCAATATCTTTATTTTTTTTTGGAAAATTCTTAGTCATTATTTCATTAACTCTTGCCTCTACCCTGATTATCCCTTATCACAATCTGCCTTCACATCAAACACTAAGCATTGCTTGTATAAAACAACAGTATGAGCCAGCTGTGGTAGCACCTGGCCTGTAATCCCAACTATTTTGTTAAGGCAGGTAGATCACAAGTGTGAGGCCAGCATGGACAACTTAGTGAGACCCTTATTGAAATAAAAAATAAAAAGAGCTGCAAATGTAGCTCAGTGGTAGAGCACTTGCCTTATTTGCATTATGTGTTTGGAGATTGCCTTCAAATCTTTCCCTTAATTTTGCTTTTCCACAGTTTGTGTTGTCTAGAACGTTTTTTGTTTAAAGAGTCTGGACTAYGTGTCTTCAAATGTTAGTTTTGCGGTCTTTATTCTTCTGCAACTCTTAATTATATATATGCTAGAATATTTGATATATTGTCTCACAGTGTTTGGATGCTGTGTTCTATTTCTTTTTCTCTTTGTGTTTCAGTTTGGGTAATCTGTTTTTTTTGAAATGAGGTTCACTGTGTTGGGCTCTGCTCCAACTCATGATCCTCTAGCCTCAGCCTTCTGAGCAGCTGGGTTTATAGACATGTGCCATGGTGCCCCAGTTTAGATAACCTCTGTGAGCATACCTGCAAGTTAAAAGGTTCTTTTCTCCATAAAGTACAGTACATCCTGTCAGTCCCTTGAAGGAATTCTTTATCTCTTGCAATTTTTTTTTTTGCTTATGTTTTCATTTGATTCTTAATTTTATTTCTTTCTCTTTGTTGAAATTCTCCATTTGTACCGGGTGTGGTGGTGTACGCCTGTAATCTCAGCAGCTCTTGAGGCTGAGGCCAGTGGATAGCAAATTCAAAGCCAGCCTCAGCAATTTAATGCGGCCTCAAGCAACTTAGTAAGAACCTGTCTCAAAATTAAAAAAAAGGCTGAGGATGTGGCCTAGTAGTTAAGCATCCTGGGTTCAATTTAAAGTTCCCCCTCCCCCCMAAAAAATCTGTTTGTGTATGATATCTACGTTTTCCATTAGATCCTTTAACATATGAATCATAGTTATTTTTAAGTCCCTGTCTAACAATACCAGCCTTTGAGTCATCTTTGAGTCTGGTTTTGCTGATTAGTTTACAATGGGTTAGATCTTTTCTTGAATTTTTGTCTCACTTTTTTTTTTTTTTTAGTTTGGCACAATACCTTTATTTAGTTTTTATTTATTTTTTTGTAGTGCTGAGGATTGAACCCAGGGCCTCGCATGTGCTAGCAAGCACTGTACTGCTGAGCCACAACCCCAGCCCACGATTTTTGATTGAATGGCAAACATTGTGGAAAAACAGACTTAAGCAAATAGTATTCTTCATGCCCTTTATCAGTAGTTGATCTTGATTTGGGAATTTTTCTTCCTTTTTTTTTTTTTTTGGCTGTACTTGGGATTGAACCCAGGGGTACTTTTGAGACAAATTGCTAAATTCCCAGACTGGCTTTGAATTTTCAATCCTCTTGCCTTAGCCTTCCAAGTCACTAGGATTACAGGCATGTGCCACCACACCCAGCTGGATTTGAAATTCTTGTTGCTTTCATTCTCTTCAGGCACCATATCTTCTAATTCTTCCAGCAGTGGGCTGCGGTTACCTATGCTTAGAACAGTGCCTTAGAAGCTGGAGGGTTTTCCTCAGTGTTTTAGTTCTGTTCCCAGCCATCAGTCGWCTCTGCACATTAGCACCTGGGAGGGCAATCTTTCCCCAGCAGTGGATTGTTGGTGTTTGTTACTTAGTGCTAGGCTTGTGGTTGGAATAAGAGGTGTTCTACCTTTCTATGGTCCATCCTCAGTATTGGATAGGTCCTGGGAGCTTGTGCCTCAGTGGTAGGGCGTTGTCAGCATTCCTGCTCTTCCTCTCCAGTGCAGCCAGACTCGCCCTTTGTCTGTCTGTTTGGTCTTGAGTGGGAGGGAGTTTCTTTTCCCTCCTCCAGTGGTAGCAGACCTTTGCTTGGAGTTCATGTAGCATCCTGGGCCCAGTGGGTGTCTTGTACCTCCTGTGGAACAGAGGGTTTTCCACTCTCCCTCCTTCAGAAGCAGTGAATCTTTGTCTTAGCAGGGATGTTCTTCTATTGCTTTGTTGTGTCTTTTTCAGTGGCTTAAGGTTTTTGCTCTGACAAGAGTAGAGTTCAGGCTTCATTGCTGTACCCCATCAGCAGCTGATCACTTTTTTTGTTCCTGTGCCACTGAGCAGAATTCTCTCTGAATTCCTGCCATGATCCCAGTCTTCCTTTGTGTTTGAGTTTCTCATCTGTTTCAGGTTGATACCATTCGACATTTGCCCTTTAAGAATTTCGCAATTTTAGCTGATTTCTTAATTACTCATTTGTATGATGGCTCTTTCCTCCATGCTTAACCAAAGGTGAACTATTCATGTGTCCTGACTCTTCACTGAGGAAGAAATGTTTTAATTTATTTAGTTGCCTTGTGACTTCCAAGTTCATGATGGCTCAAAAAAGGATCTGATCCTATAGGTTTTTCAGATTTTGTTCTTAGGCTGAGAATGACCTTGTGGCATTTAACATCTTAAGTTGAAAGCAGAACTCTTCTTATTTTTCTCTTGATTCTTACTCTGGAAGTTGGAATGGATGCTCATCCTTCTTTTCTCTTGCATCTCCTTATTTTTCTTTTTTTTWAAAAATATTTATTCATTTATTTTTTAGTTTTCGGCGGACACAACTTCTTTGTTTGTATGTGGTGCTGAGGATTGAACCCGGGCCACACGCATGCCAGGCGAGCGCGCTACCGCTTGAGCCACATCCCCGTCCCGCATCTCCTTATTTTTCTCCCTTATGTTTTCCTCTTTATGCCTTTGTGTTTATTCCTCAAATCTGTACTTCAGTAATTTTTCTTCATTTTGTGACTAAGCCCCATTCGTTGAATTTTCAATTTCATTGGCAGTACCTCTCATTTGTATATGTTCCATGTGTGTTCTTCAAAAATTTTCATTATAAATTTTTTTTATTAAAAATAATCTTTTTTTTCTTTTCCATGTAATTTTTCTAGATTATTTCTTTCAGTGTGTGGTCCAGGAAAGGATAATTGTTTCTTCAATTTTTGTCGTATCTGCTATTAACACATCCATTGAGCTTTCAGCTTCATTATAGTGCTGTTTCTCAAGAGTTCTCTGTGTGGCATCTTTCCTAATTTGCCTTTTTATTTAAATTAACTTAAGACAAAATTGACTTTTTTTGTTGTTATGTAGGTCTTACTAGTTTTCATACATAGATTCGTGAAACTACCATCATATCAAATCAACAATTCATCATGCCCTCTGTAGATGTGACCCCTGTTAGAAATAGTGAGGTGCCACAGAATTGAGCATGTGCTTAGAAGTGGGTTGGAAAGGCAAAACTTGACTTCTGCCAGAAGGGCACATTTCCAAACCTGGCTAGCAAGTGCATCTTGGCAGCAGGCAGTCCACCTGCTTTTGTCCCTGACTGCAGCACTGCCTTTTGCCCTGATAGGAGTT